TTTAGCATAAGGATTTTAGAAAAAAGTATCGTCTTATAGTCGGAAAAATACGGTATATCATAACAGCATTGTAATTTTGGTATGAGAGCTGTACAAAAGCTGCTAACATTTATTTCAAGTCAGCTGTATCTAGGTATAACATAAAATAGATAGAAACTGTACAGTATTACCTATAATAGTTGAAAATCTTCTGATGCTACAAAGATAGAAATAAATATAGGAACTAATGATATAATCAGCTGTGAAAGCAGAAGAAAACAAAGCTCTGATCATTCTAAAAAGGCTGTGCTGAAGGATGTAAAAGGTTTCACTTGATGATAGAAAGAGTAGAACTGCAGTATAGTGGAAGAAGGTTCACAACTGGAGATAAAGTAGGAATAAAGGACAACAGTAGTGGATACTGGAACAAATGGGAAAGTCTAAAAAAGACAGTGGAGGAATGCAAAAGAAAGTTGTGAGTCAAGGAAGCCTTCCACATGGTGGCTTCCTTCTTTAAGTCCAGAGAGTAACAGAGCAAGCAGTGAAGAAAGTAATTGACTAAAACTGATGGAAAGCTAAGTAACATTGTTGGAAAGGGTATCAGACAAGCAGTGGCAAGGGGTGTTTTATGGAATTCAACTGTATGATTTAATTCAGCTTTGAATAAATTATTCTGCTCATTTTTAGGGAGCTGCCCTTAAATACCTGCCAACTATTGTGAATGATGTAAAGCTTGTTTTTGATCCCAAAGAACTTAGGTAAGTATATGTTATCTGTATAAGTGCCTAAGACTGTATTTTTGTTCCTGCTTAATTGAGAGTGATCCTCTTGGAACTTGAGATGGTCCTATGCTTTAAGTTTAGGATTATGTTGGAAACATTTGCTCTGCTCTTTGTTTATAAATGGTAAAGTCATGCTACTCCAGAGCATTTCATAGCCATGTCCCCATATTTTGCTATTGCCTTCTTCTGGGACTTAAGCCATTAAAGCCTGTCTCTGTCCCCAGGCTCTGGGTCAGAATGGGTGATGGACTGCTTGTCTGATGTTTTGGTTTCATTTTTTCCAGACTCTTTGTCTTGATGACATAATTCTTTATTTTTGTTTTGTTTTTATGGTTATATTTTGTAAACAACCGAGAGTTGTAACCGATTGGGGTGGCTGACAATAAATAAATAATTGGGAGTGGGGTGCAGTGAAATCAGTGAGTCTTACTTCAAAGTAAAAATGTGAGTGTGCTTGCAATCATGTAGTGACCTGTATTAATGAACCAGCTTTCTTAACACCTATTTCGACAGGCTTTGGAATGGTTATATATTGCAAAAGAAATATAAAGAAAAAAAATATATATGATAACTCTCTAGGGTCAGACAGAATTTTCAGCCCAGACTACTGGATTTGAGGTTCTAAGTACTATAAGGGCAGAAATATTAATAATATAATAAGGCTTCTGTTTTAAAACTTTTGCTACATACTTGCCTTGTCAGGAAGTGACATTTGTAAATAAGAGCATAGATAAAGATCCTTTATCACTGAATTTTTGATTGCTAAAATAAGGGTCTGGAGGATTAATTCTGAAACTAGTTTAGGAGTCTTAAACCATAAGGGTTATTTGTACATTATATCAGTTTTATCTTATTTTTGGATGCTTACCAGTATTTCAGTTGCATAGTTACTTGAATTTCCTCTGAGGATACTTTCTTTTTTCCCTCATATTCATGCTATGCTATTGCATGATTTGAATAACAAATAAATATCATAATGAATTTGAAAGTTTGAGGAAAATCAGGATATTAGTTGCTCTACTCATAGAAAGTATTTTTGCATATTTTCTTCTTGTCCCTGTATGCCACAGTCTGTCCAGCCATTAGATTTTCCCAATTGAGAGTATGCATAAAATAGGGCTGGGGTGTAAAAGTTCTCTTCTGACCTGGAATACAGTAAAACATCTCTTCTCAAAATATTTGGAACAGTGAGAACTAAATGCTCCCTCATTTTTCATCCCAGGACTGCAAAATTTGGTAGCACAATAGTCCATGCTGTATGTTACCTACCGTGCAACCTAAGCTAAAACATAGGCTATGGTCAGCATTACAGCAGAAATGCACTATTCTAGCAAATGTCTTGAAGGTTCTTCCTAATGCACATGAACAGTGCACACTTTTTGATTTGAAAATCTGCTTATAAAGGGAAAAAACCCACAAAACCCAGCTTCTGTGCCTGGCAGCCTGAAAGATCAATAGCATAGTAACACTGTGTATAATACACTTGTACAGAACACACTTTAACCTAAAAAACAAAGTACGACATGCAGAGGACACAAGGACAAGGACAATACATTAGAACCCATTATTTTATGACCCAGCTAACTTTAAATCATTTTTTAAAAACTGTAAATTTTAGATAGGTAAACTTCTCCTTCCTCCCCCATCTCTCCTATCCTCGAGAAGCTACAGCCAGTGGCTGTAATGATGGGACTATTGCTTTCTGTTTTATTGGCGAATGTTTCCCTTAAGTATCTATGGCTTGGGAGACTTTTTTTAAAAGTAAACACATTATAGAAGTATGGAGAACATGGCTTCTGAATTTCTTTCCAATTCCTTTACCAGCAGTGGCCATAGGAGGTGTTTCCATGAAGTAACATGTGTCTCTGTGTGCTTCTATTTTCCCTTCATTTGGTGTCTGTGTGTGTATATGTGCAGTAGGAAGCACAGGACAGGCTACATATGTACCAATCTGGGTCAGGTGTCCAGGAGGAAGGGGCTTAGAGTAGAACATGTGTCTGCTTCTTAAGCTAGGAACGTATTGGAGGATTTTTTTAAAAAATGTTTTTCTCTCTGATCCCAAGCTAAATACAGCCTGTACAATATTTCTGGCTTCTCCCTCTGTAGCAAATTTAGTTCCATTCAGTTTTCAGAGAGTTAAGATAGAGCCTTAAGCTCCTTTACATAATTTCTTTCCAACACTCCATTGGGTTGGAAAGGATAAAAAGCTAATAGTGAGATACTTGAAACAAAATGGAATGAAACACTATTTTTGGTCCTGAGGTCATGATAAACTAAGAAATACAGGATACTGCCATCTTATACTGCATGAGCTGCACTGGTTAACAGTAGGTTTCCTAGTGTGAATCATAGTGCTGGTTGCTACCCAGAAAGCTCTATATGAGTAGAAGCCTGAGTAACCTAGGAGTTACCTTTCCCCAATAGTTTCTGCCTGTCACATCCCTAGACAACTGGGAGTGCAACTAAGGGTCCCCATCTATCAGGAGTTACCTCACAAAGGGGCCCAATGTCAGGTTTCTCTGTAGTAGCTTCCCTCTTCTGGAATTGCTTGCTCCCTGAAGCATGGATCACCCGTACCATTGTGGCCTTTCAGAAGCAGTTAACGCAAGCCTTTTCTGGAGGGCCTTTGGAGATTAATTTTATAGAGCAGTGCCATTTTTCTATAATTCAGTAATTTTAGTCTTTTATCGTGGTTACTATTTTAATCATTTTATTCTGATATTATATTCTGCTTTTATTACATAAATTTTGTAAGGTGCTTACAGTCTGGTTGGTTTCAGGTTGTGAGATAAATCAATGAATAAATAAAAATGTTGTGAATTTGAAATGTTTGCATGTTTGCTTCTATTCCCAATGCAAATGGGCATTTTGAGGAGCAAAAATAATTATCTGACTGCTATCTTCTACAGGTGAATCTTTGCATTGAACTGTCTAGATAGGAAGCATGTATTAATTACATAGTGGGGTTTCAGTTCATTTTATTATCTTGTGATGAAGATTAGTTGCAGATTATTAAATCCTGAAGGAAAGGATTGAATACTTGTAAAAGTTACACAGAACATATTCCACTGATTATTTTTAACACACCATTAAAAAAAATAGAAGCAAAGAAAACCACAAACATTTGATGAAAAAATATAGTTAAGGGAAAACCTGGATGATGTTTACTTTTCAGGTTAAATTAACGCTCAGGAGCAAGAAATACATTTGGTGATTTCATATGAGTCTTAGAAATGTATAAGGAGTTAACAAGCATACAGATAAGTATAACGGGATCACATGAATTCTTAATTGCTTTTCAGAAGATCCTTGGATTTTTAAATTCATGTCCTAAAACTTCTAAATAAAAAAAATGCCTTATTTCTTCTTTTCTTGTTTTGCTAGCAAACTATTTACAGATTTTATACTGAATGTTCCAATGGGTCGTCTCACAATTCAGAAGCTGTACTGTTTGATTGAAATAGTTCACAGTGATCTTTTCACACAACATGGTAAGAAAAAATCTTTAAATAAATTTAAAAAGTAATTAAATTGCTAAATGGTTTGTTATTTGTCAATCTTTGTCATGGCCTGCTGTGCCATACTACATACAGTAGCTGAGAAAGATCACTTCATTACCTGTACAAATGGGTAAATGTACATATAGAGAAGCTAATAATAACAAAAACAATAGGTAAGTAATAGTAGAATATAATCTCCTTCTTTTGCACACTCCAGCTCCCCTCCAGGGTCTGTAATTCATGGGAAAACATAATTTGCTGGTGAATCTGAACAGACCATAGCAAATCAAAAGTGAAAATTAAGCCGAATTTCCAGTTCCAGTTAGATACACATTTTGTTCTCCCATTTCATAACTTGCCTATTTCAAATGTAATTATACAATAAAATAATTGTCAGAGGCAGATTGTGCTAGGTTTGATCAACAGTTCAAGAATAAAATCTATTTTACAGTGTGAAAACCGCTTTTGTAACAGGTCAATCTGTGAACTCTGTCTAATCCTAGTATTTGATTAACTTAAGTTACATAGAGCAGAATACGTGACCAAAGTTTTGGGTCCAAGATCGGCTACCACCCGTATCTCTTGGCTTGTAATATCAAGCAGGAAGGAGATGGCAAGGGAGAACTTGTGACTGCTCCTTAGGCAAAGCTTTTTTTGTTTGTTTTTATATATACAGTATACAGTATACACACACACACAACTCTGCAAGGTACAATGGCAAGAGAAAGTTTTAAACCCTTTACAGCTGTGTGTAATCCTGTAGCACTGTGACTTACAGTTTGATTCGAGCTTCATTTAAGTCCTAATAATAGATTTAAAAAGTCTGGCTAAACAGGCAGTGCCCAAAACAGTGTATTTTATGTCTTTTATTGAACATATTGAACCAACCATCTTTTGGAAAACAAATATGTGAAGCTTATAGTAACTGGTTGCACCACCTTTACAGATACTTCTAAAAAGTTTCCCTCGCAGCTTTCTGTCATTGGTGTAGCAACCATTATTCTATTACAGTTACTCTTGATATGATTTAATATTTAATTTTAAGCATCAGTACTGATTTTCTTTTTGCTAAGATAAAAAAGACCTGTTTTGTTGTACCTTTGTAAAAGCATTGCTTTCAACTGAAGACATTATTTCAACATTATTTTAAAAAGCAGCAAGTGCTGATTTTGAAATGTTTTGGTTGATGGAAAACTTTCAGTTCAAATCTTAGAAGTCAGTGCTCTGAATTTTCAGAATTTGTGAGGCTGCTTCTGAGGGAAAAAGGCTCTTTTCCTGGAAGTTTGTAAGAATCATTGGCTGTTCCCCAAATGAACACTGAGTTACTTCTACAAAAAGGAATCTGCAATAGATGTTGCAATATATTCCCCATTCTTACTTGAATAATGTTCCTGTTCAAGGCTCCAACTACTTTTAAACAGCAACCTTGCAGCACTGTTTTTCGTTGTTTGAATTCACCTTTGCCATAACATACGTGCTAAAAGATTCAGATTAAAGGTTATCTATCTTCCAACTCCATCACAGATGATTTTGAGGATATTTTTAGTCTACCATAAATTACAACCTGTATCTGTATCTTACAGTAGATTAGTTTAGGGATTCAGTTAGCTTAAAGTGTCATAATCTTGCATACAGAAAATAGACTAAACAGTTAAAAAATTGGAATGAATGCTTTTTGAGCAGTGGGGCTTGGGTCATTTGTGGAATGAGCCAGCACCATTGAGGACTCTAGAAAGCTGTGCTTATTCCTTAATCATTATATAGTCACCCCAAGTCCTGGGAGCTCACAGAGTTTTCTAAGAGATAAACAGTTATTATCATTATTTTATTTCATAAAGATACATGTTTATGTGTTTCCGTGTAGAAGCCAATAACTTTTGTACCTAACACAGAAGCAAAATGATTGGCTGCTTAGGATATAAATTTGGAGGCTGATAAATTAATTGAAGTCAGTGGTTGAAGGTGATATATAGAGAGAGAAACGGGAGAATAAAAATTCTGGAATTAATTTCACATCAGGCTATATGTTTTTGTGTGTGCCTATCACATACAAGCATAAACATACATCTGTTTTCATTTTTTTTAATAAAGCATACCTGAAATAATGAAGTACTTAACAGAAAAAAGTTCTCCACCTTTATGAAACATTATTTAGCTGCTGACTATAGGTGAAAGGAACACACTTCTTTTTTCATAGTAATTAATGATAATGCAGTTGAATTCTCTCTGGTGTAATTCTGTCTTACAAAGTTATTCTCTTTAAAAGCTTAAGTCATGTGGTGGCAAGTAGCTAGTATTGAACATTCAGAATGATCTGCAGTACTTAGTGGAATGATATTCTTATCTTCTTATTATGTGAACAAAGCTTTTAGTTTTATGTTGACATCCTTAAATAATCACTTAGCAAATTTGCCTAACCCATCCTAAGTAATTTGCTATTTCATGCCTGATCGGTTTTACACAAGGTCAAAAGTGAACAAAGGATGTGTTAATTAATATTGTACAAAATGTTATTCCTTTGTTTGCTATGGTCTTTATGGAAAAGTGAAGTCATAATATTTGAAAAAATAAATCAAGTAAAGTTGGCAACCAAGATCAGAGTGATAAATAGGCATCCTTGAAGCTGAAGGGTGTATAAACTGCAAATATCCCATCCAATGTCAACTTCAAATGTTATGGTATGTATGTGTTGGTAAAAATTTATCCCTTCGAAAAGCTTATATTGACCAGAAGAAAGCATGCTTTCTGTTTCAAAATGAATGTTTTCTGGAATTATTTTGAAAGGACTATCATGATAATGTTTCCTGTTTTAATAATGTGTTATATCCCTAGTTCCTAATTGCTTCTTACATTCTTAGAGTAATTCAGACTTATATTGGTGAAATAGTGAAATACCTTGCTTGTACAAACATGGGGGGAAAAACAACTCTAATACTAGCCTAAATATGCAAATATGGTGAATTAGTTACCAGCTGGTAGTTGTTCTTAAGAAAGGCTGATTTGACCTTATTAGAGATATTTATTTCCTTGTAATAATTAAAACACATAGTTTATTCACTCGACTTACAGATGACCTCACTGTTAGGCTTCACAAGTCATAACTTGATTTGATTGACCAGCATACTGTATCACACACCGAGTACAGGTAGTCCTCGACTTATGACCATTTGTTCAGCGACTGTTCAAAGTTATGGTGGTGATGAACAAAGGGACTTATGGGCATTGCAGTGCCCCTGCAGTCATGTGATCAAAATTCGGGTGCTTGGCAGCCCACCCACACTTAAGACCACAGGGGCACTTCAGCTCCCCCCACTAGCCTATCACCTCCCATCTATGGCCTTTTGGCCCCCTGCTACCCTGTGCTCCATTGCCCCAGGTGACCTTTGCTGTCTTCTTGCTCCTGCTGCTGACGAGCCATACCCAGCCTGGCTGCTGGGCCGAGCTGGAGCTGGGCTTCACACTATAGAGGGGGGAAAAAAAGCAAAAAGCAACCCTTGAGCTGTGGTGCGCCAAAGGCCCTTTGCACCATGCTCCTGGTCTGGGTTGGGGCTGGCTTTGCACTGTGGGGGAAAAAAAAGTAAAAAGCAGCCCCTGAGCCGCAGCACACCCAAAGGGCCCTTTGTGCTGTGCCCCTGGGCCGGGCTGGGGCTGGCTTTGCATTGTGCTGTGGCTCAGGGGTTGCTTTTTACTTTTTTTTCCCCCACAGTGCAAAGCCAGCCCCAGCCCAGACCAGGAGCTCAACACAAAGGGGCTTTTTGGTGTAAATTGTGGTCATAAGTCGACGACTACCTGCAGCTGAATCTTACCATGTTTCAGAATTTAGAATATGTAGTTGGAGAAGGCTGTCTAGTAGAAGAACACCTTTAGTTCCAACTCAAGGTGATTTCCAAGTTTAAAAATTAGATATAAATAATAGGAGAATCCTAAATGGATTTGCAATTTTTATCAGGTTACTGAATTCGTTCATGAAACTGTTCTGACTCTACTCCAGATATATTGGTGGCTGCGTTACTTTTTTTTTTTTTTTTTTGCTTAATTGATTTTAATACAGAAATGTTCAAACTTTTTAAAAATCTTCAACATGCCATCACGGACCACATTTTCAGGAGGGCATTATTAATATGGCTAGTTGAATAAGATCTTTAATGGTATAAATATTTTTATAATTTAAATGTTATAATGTACACATGGATATTTCAGATATGAGTAGAAATAAACTGATTCATATGAACTTGTATTTTAAAATTATCTGAAAACTGGTATTAGATAATTCTTTGAGAATAAAAGACTAGGGGGCATACACCATTTATAGGAGTTCGAATAATCATTAAAAGTTTTAGCAGTTCGTGTTTATGGAGAGGCCATTCAGTACAATTGATGGGGCATGCATATAATATAGATAATTTCAAAATATTTTAATTAAAGTATTAGTTGATTTAAAATATTTATATAGGGCTTCCTACTTAAAAAATTTCAAAGCAGTTTACAATAAAAATCAGCAATTTAAGCAATTTATAACAATAATAACATATACATTAAAATATATATAGAAAGTAAAGCAATAAAATAGCAGAACAATAACAATATATAAGCATCATGAAGATTAAAATCATAGCATTATTATTAAAAGGAGAATAAAATATATTTGGTGCTGAAAAGGTGATAAATATCTTCTTACATCTTAATATGATATTCAGATTTTTCAAATTGTTTGACTTGGTTTCACACAGTTGCTAGTATCTGTTGCAATGAAATAGTTCTGCTTTGGTTAATGATTACCTTTTGAGCATCTGTTTAAAAAAGATTAATACTTCATAACACAATCACCTGACATTAATCATTATGGGTTAAATCTGAGCAAAAGAGGATGAACAGATTTTAAAGCATTCTTGTTGTGGATAATTATCTTATGAGCAACCTTTACCCTTTGGATTTTGATAAGAGGATAATTCTATAGGCAACTTTTTCCCCCGAAAGTCACTTATTTATCA